ACTCACCAAGAAAAGAAGAGAGAAATCGCAAATTAATAAAATCAGGAATGACAGAGGAGAAATCACAACAGATACCAATGAAATACAAGAGATCATAAGAGAATACTATGAAAAACTATATGCCAACAAATTGAACAACCTGGAAGAAATGGACAAATTCCTAGACTCCTACAATCTCCCCAAACTGAATCAGGAAGAAATGGAGAATCTGAATAGACCAATCACAAGTAAGGAAATAGAAAAGGTAATCAAAAACCTCCCCAAAAACAAGAGTCCAGGACCAGACGGCTTCTCTGGAGAATTCTACCAAACATTCAAAGAAGACTTAATACCTATTCTCCTCAAACTGTTCCAGAAAATTGAGAAAGATGGAGAACTCCCTAACACATTCTATGAAGCCAACATCACTCTGATCCCCAAACCTGACAAGGACAACACAAAGAAGGAGAACTACAGGCCGATATCACTGATGAACATAGATGCAAAAATCCTCAACAAAATTTCGGCAAACCGAATACAACAATACATCAAAAAGATTATACACCATGATCAAGTGGGATTTATACCAGGGACACAGGGATGGTTCAACATCCGCAAGTCAATCAACGTGATACACTACATCAACAAAATGAATACCAAAAACCACATGATCATCTCAATAGATGCAGAGAAAGCATTCGACAAGATCCAACACCCATTTATGATAAAAACCCTCAGTAAAATGGGTATAGAAGGAAAGTACCTCAACATAATAAAGGCCATATATGATAGACCCACAGCCAACATCATACTCAATGGACAAAAGCTGAAAGCCATCCCTCTGAGGACAGGAACAAGACAAGGGTGCCCACTTTCACCACTCCTATTCAACATAGTACTGGAGGTGCTGGCCAGAGCAATTCGGCAGGAAAAAGAAATAAAAGGAATCCAAATAGGTTAACGAAGAAGTAAAACTCTCGCTGTTTGCAGACGACATGATCTTATATATAGAAAACCCCAAAGAATCCACAGAAAAACTATTAGAAATAATCAACAACTACAGCAAAGTAGCAGGGTATAAAATTAACGTGCATAAATCAGTAGCATTTCTATACACTAACAATAAACTAACCGAAAAAGAACTCAAGAACTCTATCCCATTCACAATCGCAACGAAAAGAATAAAATACCTGGGATAAACTTAATCAAGGAAGTGAAGGATCTATACAATGAAACTACAAGACTTTCTTGAAAGAAATAGGCGATGACATAAAGAGATGGAAAAACATTCCTTGCACATGGATTGGAAGAATAAACATAGTTAAAATGTCCATACTACCTAAAGCAATATACAGGTTCAATGCTATCCCAATCAGAATCCCAAGAACATTCTTCACAGAAATTGAACAAACAATCCTAAAATTCATATGGGGCAACAAAAGACCGCGAATTGCTAAAGCAATCCTGAGCAAGAAAAACAAAGCCGGCGGAATCACAATCCCCGATTTCAAAACATACTACAAAGCTACAGTGATCAAAACAGCATGGTACTGGTACAAAAACAGGTCCACAGATCAATGGAACAGAATTGAAAGCCCAGAGATAAAACCACACATCTATGGACAGCTAATCTTCGACAAAGGAGCAGAGGGCCTACAATGGAGAAAAGAAAGTCTCTTCAACAAATGGTGCTGGGAAAACTGGACAGCCACATGCAAAAGATTGAAAATTGACCATTCTTTTTCACCACACACCAAAATAAACTCAAAATGGATCAAAGACCTAAAGATTAGGCCTGAGACAATAAGTTTTTTGGAAGAGAATATAGGCAGTACACTCTTTGACATCAGTTTCAAAAGAATCTTTTCGGACACTGTAACTCCTCAGTTGAGGGAAACAATAGAAAGAATAAACAAATGGGACTTCATCAGACTAAAGAGCTTCTTCAAGGCAAGGGAAAACAGAATTGAAACAAAAAAACAGCTCACTAATTGGGAAAAAATATTTACAAGCCACTTATCCGACAAAGGGTTAATCTCCATAATATACAAAGAACTCACACTGCTTAACAACAAAAAAACAAACAACCCGATCAAAAAATGGGCAGAGGACATGAACAGACATTTCTCAAAAGAAGATATGAATATGGCCAATAGACACATGAAAAGATGTTCATCATCGCTAATCATCAGGGAAATGCAAATCAAAACTACACTAAGATATCACCTTACCCCCGTTAGATTGGCAAAAACATCCAAAACCAAGAACGACAAATGTTGGAGAGGTTGTGGAGAAAGAGGAACCCTCATACACTGTTGGTGGGAATGCAAACTGGTACAGCCACTATGGAAAACAGTATGGAGATTTCTCAAAAAGTTAAAAATAGAAATACCCTATGACCCAGCCATCCCATTACTGGGTATCTATCCTAAGAACCTGATAACAGATATCTCAAGAGTCCGTTGCACCCCTATGTTCATCGCAGCATTATTTACAATAGCCAAGACGTGGAACCAGCCTACATGCCCAGAAACTGATGACTGGATAAAGAAGATGTGGTATATATACACAGTGGAATACTACTCAGCCATAAAAAAAGACGAAATTGGCCCATTCACAACAACGTGGATGGACCTCGAGGGCATTATGTTAAGCGAAATAAGTCAGTCAGAGAAAGACGATCTCTATATGACTCCACTCATAGGTGGAAATTAGTATATTGAGAAGGAGATCTGATCGGTGGTTACCAGGGAAAAGGGGGGGTGGGGGGAGGGTACGAAGGGGGAAGTGGTGTACCCACAACATGACTAACAAAAATGTACAACTGAAATCTCACAAGCTTGTAATCTATCATAACATTAATAAAAAAAATATAAATATAAAAAACAAAACAAAACAAAACAAAAAAAACAAACAAACAACAAAACCCTCTGTGTCATATAAGTCTTCTTTTCCCAACACCTAGCATAGGTCCTGGCCATAATGTGTGCTTAATACCCAATGAATAATTGAATAACGTTCCCAATTTCCCGGTCCTGAATTCCGAGAGTCACTTTGAATCCTCTCCTAAATCTTGTTAGTGACCGTCTTATTGATTCCTTATACCTATGTTTCCTGATGTTGTCCCTTGTCTTCTGTTGCTATCGCTACACTCACCCAGGCTCTTACACTTTGTATGACTGCAATATCCCCATCTTGGTCTCCCCGCTCTCAGTCTTTCTTTTGTCAAGTCAGTCCTGTATTTCCTCTGCGAGAATAATCTAAAAATGCTATTTGTCCAAGGGTCAGGTTTAAATTCCTTATTCTGGTATTCAAGGACTTCACAGGTCTCCTGCAACTTCCTCATCATAAACCTCAGTCTTCTTTCATCATTTTTCTCTTGTTATCACCCAAATGCCAGATTGACACATGTTTTTACCTCCCTTCCTTCCACCATTTTTCTAAATTTTATCCTTCCTTTAAGTCCCAACTCAAATCCCATTTCCCTCAGGAACCTTTTGAATCTTTTGGTCCTAGACAATGTCTTTCTTCTCTGATCTATTATTGTTTACTGTTATACGACTTACTGTTTTCACATACTTGGGCATTTAATAATCTATGGCAGGGGTTGGCAATTTATGGTGTATGACCCAAATCTGGCCTGCTGCCTGTTTTTGCACAGCCTGTGAACTAAGAATGGTTTTTACATTCAAATTTAAATACAAGAAGATTACTTCATGACACATGAAAATTATAGGAAATTCACACTTCAGTGCCATGAATAAAGTTTTACTAGAATATAGCCACATCTATTTGTTTATGTATTGTCTGTGACTACTTTCCAGCTATAAAGGGAGACTTGAGTAGTTTCAACAGAGACCATAAGGCCTACAAAGCCTAAAATATTTACTATCTGGCTGTTACAGAAAAAGCTTGCTGAACTCTGATCTAGGATCTTGAATTCTCTTTGTAACCTTTGCATAGCTGTTTAAGAACTTTGGAGAGGTCTGCTTCACTAAACAAGATTTTCAATGCTAACTGGCTGCACGTTAAAAAGATGGGGGAAGGCTGCATAGAGTGAGTAGGAGCTAGCCTAGTTAGAAACTTAGTAACTTAGGCAACCAGATTCCCATTGGAAAGTGAGAATCAGAGGATCTCAGGTGGATGGGGGAAAAGTGATCTTTTTTTCCATCTTCTCTGTTTTGACTTGGCAGAGAAAATGTCAAAGCACTGAGAGTCTAGCTGGAGAAAGGGCTATTTGAGGTCTTATCTGAATCTGGTTGCTGAGAAGAGATCAGTGGTTGCTAGCTGAGAAAAGCTCAGCTATTAGTGACTCAGTTATTACAGACCATGAAAGAAACTATCAACAGGGCGTAACAGCTAGAGCTGAAAGTGTTTAGCTTTGGCTGACTGAAGATGTAAGTAGGCTAAGAGGTTTTACAATGCCTAGAAACATCACAGGAAAGAAAATTTAAACAATTTTCTTAAAGTAGAAATGAAAGCTAGATATGTGGTAAATAGGAATAGCAGTTGAAGTTATTGGAAAGTTCATGACTTTTTTACCTACGTGTTCTATTGTTTTTCGTCTTGCTCTAATCATATTTTTTTCTTAAAACTTATACCACATAGTAATTATTTAGTAAAGTTCCATCTTATTGAAAAATAATCTATATAGATTGGACTGTGGGCTTCATCTTTCACATCTGCTCCCTACACCTGGGCAGAGTCCAATTGGCTAGTTTTGGTACTCAGACATGGACAACCAAATAGGTTGCTACCTGAATTGTAGAAAGAAACAAGCTAGACTCTAGGAAATAGGACTTGCATATTGATACCTATTTTAATGTTAACAATAGGTACAAGGTCATAAGCGTGTCTCCTTTTTTTATAGCTTCACCACCATGCCTGGCACAGTGGAAGCCACATTGTCAGACTGAGATTGAAAGAATAAGCAGTAGTAAATTAAATTTGGGGGGGAGCTCATTACCTATTCACGTGGACATTAGGGGACCATCATTTTGTTGGAGAGGGATTTTTGCATTATGTGGGAGGTAGGATTGATGAATCCTAAAATGTCTGGCAACTCCTGAGATCTATGATCTTCCAATTCAAACAGGCACATTACAATTTCCCTCTTCTTTGCCAGAGAATATCGTCCACTTTTCCCTCTCTCTCTCTCTCTCTCTTTTCCTGCCCTTCCTCCGTTGAGCCCTTCTCTTGTCCAGACTGCCATCCTATTACTAAATCTTAATCTGCAACATCTCTTAGCTTTACCCCTTTCATTCACTGTTTGCCGCTTCTCAAGGACCCTCTTGATTTCCTTCCAGCTTCTCTTTTCTTCGCTTTCCCAAACTCACACCCTCCCTCCTTCCCCCTCCCTCCTTCCCTCCTTCCCTCCTTCGTGTGCTACTCCTTCCTCTCCCTCCTTCTTTGCTCCCCCTACTTCATTTTCCGTGCTCTCATCCGCCGACCGGCTCCCCCTCCTTCCCGCTCTCTGACTGTCTTACCCTAGTTTGGAAATACAGCAGACCTCTAAGTCTGCTACCATTGGACGGAAGGGGCTGTCACTCTGTGGCAGGAGGCGCTCCTATTGGTCGGACTGGAGGAGGATGGAGCTGACTATAAAAGGTGGGGCCGGAGGAGGCGCGCAGAGCGGCTCTGACAGGAGCAGGTCGGGAGGGCAAGCCTGGCGGGAAGCTGAGCGCCGAGAGCCGGGGTGCCGGCGCCCGAGCAGCGGTTCTCCGCACTCACTCTCCTCCGCTCGTCGGCCGGAGCGCTGCCTCCGAGCCCGGCAGCTCGCGGCCGTCGCCCGCGCAGCCCCGAGGGCCCCTCGCCTCACCTGCACGTGCCGCACCCCGCGCGCCCCGTCCGGCCGCCGCAATGAGCGAGGTGAGCGGCGCGGGCTGCGGCGGGGGGAAGACGCTGCTCCGGGTCCCAGGGACGCGAGGGAGGGCGCGGCAGCCCAGAGCGGCGGAGAACCCTCCGAGGGCGCCCCACTGGCCCCCTGGGAAAGCTCCCACCTCGGGGCGCTGGGAAGCGATAGAAGAAGGAGACTTTAAGTCCCCGGACTGTGGATGGCGCTTCTAGGGGGACGGGAATCGGGTGTAGAGTTCGGGGGCTGAGGTCTCAGGTGTAAGTCGTCTTCTTGGGGTACTGCTCCCTCCATCTGTCTTACTGCCCCGAGGTTACTCGGGCGTCCCACTCCCCTGACTTCTGAGAAAACGTTCGCCTCTGTCCTTCCTCTTGTAGAGCTGTGTTGCTCTTGCACTTCTTAGCATTCAACAAGAACTCCAATCCTCGCCCCCTGGAGTGTGCTCTTTTCCCCTTTTAGGAAGGTGGCATCCTACCCTCCACTCATTCCGTCAGGAACCAACCGTTGGAGGGACCATTTCTGATACTCAGGAAGGCCCTGTAAGGGGGGCATGTTCTGCTCCTGGAGAGATGTCCCTTTGGAGAGTAGACCTCCCTCTGCAGTACTGGTTGCATCCGGGGTCTCTTAGCAGGCTCCGAGCCAGACCCAGTCCAGGAACTGTGATTGCTTCTTCTCAAAGAACACCGTCCGTAGGTGGGGGTCAAAGCAGAGACTCTGAAAGACCTCTCCCATTGTTTGACCGTATTTGTAGGCATCCAGAAACAGGAATCTTTCTTCCCAAGTGAAGTCGGTCTGGGCAGTGACATCACAAGCTTGCTTTCTGCAATCCCTTTCCTGGTACCCAGGATCTTGTGTTAAATCCAGCTTTTCAGCTATATGCCAGGTCCCAGCTCCGCTACTTCCTAGCTGTGTGGCCTTAGGCAGGTTACTAAACTTTTCTCTGCTTCAGTGCTTTATCAGTAAAACGGGGATAATACTGGTTGTTCTAATGATTAAATGAGGTAATATATACAAAGTACTTAGAACGGTACCTGGCACAGAGTAGGTGCTCAAACTGTGTTAGCTATTGTTATTATCTCCCTGTTCTTTTTTCTCTTTTAGAGTGTTACAGAAAGCTAGCACAAGAATTCTCAAGGATACAGGTTAGTGAATTAGTGAAGGGATAGGACCCTGGAACCTGAGTGTCAGTTTAGATCTTCATTTTTAGTAGGAACTCTCCTGGCTCCTATCAAAACTTGTCACCCAGGGAGCCAATTAGTGCTAACTTCTGTGTTGTCTTGGTTGCCATGTCCACTAAATGTATCCTGGAAAATTCAGCTGGTCTGGGGTCAGCAGAAGAACTAACGTGGTTTCTAGTCCCTCTGCTAGTTGTGACTGTGACCATGGCAGCCTTTCCGAAAGAAAAGAAAAAAATTGTTCAATCTTCTTTCCTCTTCCCTCTTTCAGCCCTGATATGAAAAGACAGGTTTTCTTTGCCCTCTTTTCACTGAGGTCTAGAGTTCAGCACCCCCTCTAGTGTTTCTAAATCTGAAAGTCGCAATTCAAGCCATCCCTTGGGAATTTGAGATCTAAAGGCTATGCCAACATGAAGATGGGTGGTTAGCCTGTGCTTTTTGGGGGACGTGCACAGCCATTCTGTAGGACACGCTACAGGGACTGGCATTTAGGGTAGTATTTGGTGGAATGACAAAGCTGTTTCGGTGGCAAAGAAGGCAATTTGGTGTTTGAGGGAAAGGTCAAGTCTTGACTTAGCAGGTGGACTTGGCTAGCCTAAATCAGGAGCTCAGGAGAAGGATGAGAGCAGGAGCCTTGGATGGGCACTAGCCGTCAGTGTGTGTGGGGCTGCCCAGCCTCCCAGGCTGTCAGAGTGAACTGGTTCTAACTAGCAATTTAGCCGTCGAAGCTGCCTCCTGATACGGAGCTGAGCCTGGCTTCAGGGATGAGTATTTGTAAAATCCTGAAGCAGCCACCTAGGTGTACACAGAGACGAGCTGTCTCTGTACCAGATCCCCAAAGGGTCCCTGCTTCCCTCGAGGCCAAGACCCAGCCTGTTTTCTTCCTCTTGTAAAAGCTATGATGAAAAGCGGAAGTATTGCCTAGAGCTCTGGAACTCCAGGGAGACTCCAAACTGCTCCACTTCTCTCAGCCCATCCCCAGGGGTCTACTCTTCCAGGCTGAAGTCCCTAGCCCAGGAAAGCCCTGTGTACCCTGATTCTTATATAAGCTTCACTTCCCCCACCCCTATTTTCTTGCTTCAGAGAACCTGCATGAAGTGAGAGGACTTAGGATCTCCTTGAGAGATTCCCATTTCAACTGAAGAACAAAAACTGGGGAGGAGTCTTCAGACCTAGAGCAACTAAAAGTGTAGCGGTTCTGGGGGGGCTGCTGGGGAAGATCTCCAGCTCTACTTTGCCTTTGTGGCTTTTTGCTGTCACTCAGTACTGCAGCAGAGCGTTTCCCTGTGAGTGTGTGTGTGTTCGTGCACAGAGGAGCTGCAGGGGCTCATCTCCGGCTTGTCTGCATTCGCAGCTGCAGGCAGGACTTGATTGCTGTGAATCACAGTCTAGCTCTTACAGTTTAATAACTTTTTGCTAGTTTCAGTGAAGGATGGGAATGGGAGATGCATTCAGAACCCGAGGGCTCTTTCCTGTAATCCTTTGTCATAGTGGGTAGCTGGCTGCTTAAAGCACAGTTGCAAGTTCTTCTGTGATCCTGTTGCGTTTCTCAACTGTGAGGAGCCCAGCTGGAGGAATCCCTTGGTCCAGCAGTCATTCTGTTGAAATGGGGGTCATGGATGACTAGTGATTATCCTCGTGGTGTCTGTCCTGGGTTTTGGCTGGCAGGGGCTGGAGCAAGAGACAGATCAATTAGAAATCTCTTTAGGGGAGATCTTAGAACTGGTGCTCCCTCCTTTATTATTCTGCTTGTTGTCCTCTTAAGTAATAGAAATGGGGATCCCACACTTTAGGGATCACATTCACTTGCCCGTGCATATCTGTCTGAACCTGCAACCTTCTTCTCAATGGAAGGTTTGATCCGGGTGACATCATTCTGTTACGTCTTCTGTAAGCCAGTTGTTAGGGAACCTGGTAGGGACTTGGAGGAAATCCAAGTTTATTATGGTTGTATTGGACATATAAAATCGAAGGGCTAGCTACTTCATCTTGGAATGCCTTCCACCTCTGGAAATATCTGTCTTCCGAAGTAAGGGAAACCAGAACTTGGTTTTCGAACTTGCTCATCTTTTTTTAGTCACCATTCAGGTTATTGGCTTTAGCTGCTTGAACAAGAGCATCTGGCTCGTAAAAAAGGGGATGACTTTGTCATCCTGTGACCCAGGAATATGGACGACTCTTTTTCCTAAGCTGCAGCTGTGATCAGTTAGCTCTTAGGATGTCAAGTCTCTATAGGGACAGGCACCCATAAGTGATGTGGCTGGAGTCCAAATACGCAAACCTGATGCGTGTTTCCTGTCAGCCTGTGGAGAGTCTGAACTGATGAAAGTGAAGGAGATAGGGTTGCAGAGGGAGATGAAGAATGATAAAGTCAGTAATCGTCTTTTCAAGTGGTTCTATGAATGTCTCTCCTCATTTTCTTTCTGTTTTTCTAAAAGTTCCAAATTGTCTTTCATGAGTCTATTTTATCATGGAAAAAAAATAAACTTAATTTTGCAAAAATCCTTCAAGATAGAAATACAGGTATATCTTTCACCAAGAAAATCTCAAATAATATATCAAAACATTTTAGTGATATAATTTTAGATTTGTTAAGGAGCCCTAAAGATCATCTCTTCCAATCTTCTCATTTTACAGATGAGGAAACTGAGGCCCAAACCTTGTCTAAGTTTACACAGTACCAGAACCAAGACAAGGGCACAGAACTGCTGGCTTCTCATCCCAAAAGTACTTTCTATAAGACTCTGACATGTTACCCCAATGAATATAGGATGGTTTAATTTCCATGCAACTTTTTTTTTTTTTTTAAGATTTTTTTTTTTTTTTTAATTTTCTTTTTCTCCCCAAAGCCCCCCCGGTACATAGTTGTGTATTCTTCGTTGTGGGTCCTTCTAGTTGTGGTATGTGGGACGCTGCCTCAGCGTGGTCTGATGAGCAGTGCCATGTCCGCGCCCAGGATTCGAACCAACGAAACACTGGGCCGCCTGCTGCGGAGAGCGCGAACTTAACCGCTCAGCCACGGGGCCAGCCCCCAATTTCCATGCAACTTTTAAGGCATATTATTATAATTTAAGTATATTACAAATACTTTCTATAGGAAATCCAAGCAGCGTGATTTAGTAAAGGCTGGGCAAGAGGATAGGGAGAGAGGAGAGACCAACATAGGATGATATTTCTCAAGAGGGTACATTTTGGTAGAATGATAGGCAGGGCAAGTACTATCTTTCCTTATCCATATGCCTAGTCACCTTAGAAATGAGTGCGGTGAACGTGATGAGGTGGAGTGGGTATGCTAATGGGAATGAAAGAAAGGGGAAGCCTGGAGGCCCTCTCTTCGTGGGTTCTTAGTTTCTGGTGCCCATTATTGATTTCCATAAGTGCAGAGCATCAAGGACCAGAAGGAGAGGTTTTCTTTCTGAAAAGAAAGGACTGAGAGCAGTTCTCTTAACTCTAAAGTATTTGACTTGGAGCACTCAGGGCAGGACTGGTTCAAAATGGCTTAACTTGCCTCAGAATTATTTTACCTGCAAGACTAAGCTTAATCAGAAGCAGATCAAAACCACGTTTTCTAAGAGATCTGCATCCCTGCAGGTGCCTATAAAGGAGTGCCTAAAAACCTAGACCTTGTCTTGTCACCTTCTCCTCCCTGAGCCTGATTATTGCTTCACTCTGGGCTGACTCCTGAAGGCGTGCCCACCCAGGTTTCCCACCACCCTCCCCCCACCCAGGGAAAAGAGGTGCCATTTACCGTTCTGTTGTCTTTGGTGCTGCCTCCCTCCCACACAAAGCCCTCCAGCTGAGTGTTTGCTTTGTAGGCTGAGGGGGGATTAATACATTTATTT